CAGCGTGCAAGTATATCCAAAAGCACTAGGTCAAGGGTGAGTAGCTAAAATCCAACTACAAGAGAAAGAGAGAGACAAGGATTTAGCAGGAAGGCAAAACAATTAATAATAGGGAGCTATTACTGGGGGATTGTCAGTGCTAAGAGGGAGGTCAGGTTTCAGACCCTTTTGAAGACTTTGATGGTACAAAACAGGCCTCATTATAGAGATATTATCTCTATTCATACACTTACAGAGCCGCTTGGATCCCTGCTGGGAAAGATTAGGTTCCTCCACTTGAGAACATCCTCCTTGGGTGCCTGGCTCTCAGAGCGCTGTTCTCAGTTCGCGGCACACCCACACCGCACGGCTCAGCACAACTCAACTCAAAGCAACACAGCGAAACCCAGCTCAGGGATGATCCAGTATAATCCACCCAGGTTGTGGTAGTTTTAATAGAGATTAAGCTAAACTGTAGCTAGCTAGTTAATGGGTCTTTTTAGCCTCTAGAGATGGCATTGTTGGTCTGAAGGTTGGTAAGTCTACGGTGTTGGTCATTACAGGAAAAAAATGCTATTTGATGGAATGAGATGGATATCGGTGTTGATATTCATAGTCCCCGGAGGATAAATCAAATGACTTTATCACACAGCATTAAAGTGAATATTTAGAGTTCTGTGTGAAATCTAGAGTCTCAACAACTATTGGATGGATCAGATTTTGCACAGGAATTCATTCCTTTTGAACTTTTTTCATCAAAATTTGTCCAAAACTCTTCACCAAAAAAATCCTAACAAACAGTACCCCTTCTGCTTTAGCTGACGTGTAGGCATGCCAACCCTCTAGACGTAATGAGGTAGCATTTAGCTCCAAGCATCACTGTGCCTACATGGCTTCTTCACAAAATTCTCCTCCTCACCTGGAAACAATAAATGTAACTCCCAGTTTGGGACACAACTGTATAGTGTAAATGTGTTATCGCGCTGTTCACAAAAACTCAAATGTTTGATGTCATTTCTTTGCAGATGATGCCCTTTGAAAATCAATAGGTGAGAGCGAAACCAAAAAATGGACAAGAAAAAAGCCAGAGCTGAAGAAGTATCTGCATAAAAAGTGTATGACCCTCAAGGAAATCCACTAAGACATGGTCAATACACTTGATGAGGACTCCTCTTGCTATTCAACCGTAAAGAAGTGCGGATTTAAAACGCCCAAGAACATCAACCACGGACGATCAAGTAGAGGTCAATTTACCACATGGTCATGAATGATAGACATGTGACTGTTCAACACCGAGACATAGACATCAGTGTCCAGCGCCGGCTTCTTTCTTGTCATTTTTTGGTTTCCCTCTCACCTACTGATTACCAAAGGGTGTCACCTGCAAAGAAATTAAGACAAAAATGAAAGTTTTTGTGGACGGTGATATAAGGCTTTATAGTAGGAGTTCTGTCCCTTGCTTCTGGGTAAAGCACAGTATTTTTGAAGTACCTTCGTGACCAGCCCAAAAAGAGGTGTTGTTTGTTCCCTTGTTTGTTCCTGAAAGTAGAAGTCATGCAGTGGATTGCGTGCTGACCTCATTACAAATTGTAAATGTAGGCTAGACTGTCTACACTGCACACTTAATAAAATTCTCAGTATATGACCATGAAATCATGCAAATTACCCCCATTTTCGACATCAAACATTCACACTGTAAAACAGCAAGATATCACATGTTGAGACATTAAGACAAAGAGACACGTTATGCTTGTCTCTGCTCTGGCACTGAGCTCAGAGCCCAAACATTTGCTTCTAAGACACCACAAAGCAATCTGCTGCCACATCTGACATTCACATGAGGCCCGAGCTTTGTTGTTGACCTCATGAGGCACTCTTTTTTTCTGAGGAGTTTTGTAGTACATATAATGACTGTATGATTTTAATTTTGGGGAATTTCAAGCAAAGGAAGACTTATTCCCACTTTCTTTCTTTCTTTATGTCTTCGTGTTGTTTGTTCAGATGTGTGTTTGCATGACTGCAGAGAGATCACTCTGAAAAAAAGACCAACAAATATCAGATTTTTCTTTTCGTTTTTTTCTTACAAAAGTGAAAACAAACTATAAATATGTGGGAGCTTTGCATTAAATGAAAGTGTGCATCAATCTGTCTGCACCAAGTTTTACATCTGTAATTACAATTTGCACTCTAACACATTCGGTAAGTAGATCCAATTTTAAATAATGTTCATATTGTTATACTTTCTAGGTACAAGCAGATTTCTGGAAAAGAAAACATGCATTGCCACATTCAGTTTTGCTTAATTTTGCTAACGAATATGTATGAGTGGCCTTTTTTTACAAACAATAGAGCAGAGTTGGCACTTTGCTTTGAACATCATCAATATCGTTTCGGAACAATAAATGGTTAAGACAGTTGGAGGGTTTATAAATGATGCACAGAGTCCATTGGGACCATTCTCATCCTAAGAGTAAACATGTGTAACAAATCATCTCGCTCTCTTAACAAAGAGAAAGGAAAGCGACCAGCACTTCAAATTTTTTACTGTCAGGTTCAATTTCATTTCGTTTCCGGAACAAAAATCATGTTTCAGGTCATAGTAGGTAACTGATAAGTCTGCCAAGCGTTGCGAAGTTGGCTATGATGATGCAGCTCCATCTTTGTTGTACTTTTTTGTATCTTCAGGGAAATTTTACGCTTTCATACATGTCCGAAGGCCTTATATCACTTGGCTAAGATGTATTACTTCCTACACGGTGCTGATCGAGAGAACAATAAACCAAATACTGGGTCAAGCCTGCAAACAATATTCAGAATATTACATTTTTTTGGAAAATGGTGGGAAAAAAAACTTCACCAACTAAACAATATTCTGTGTCCGTGTTGGTCCTCATTCTGACTCAGTAAGTAAAAGCTCATGCTCAGTGGCGACCGAAGATCTGACTTTCAGGGGACGGATACAAGAGGCGAGAAAAGATAAAGCTGGAGGAAGTTAACAGACAATTAAGGGTGAAAGACTGTGACTTTTTTTTACGAAGAGCCCACATAGATCTACGCTGAGAGTAGCTTTGATGAGGAGCCCGGCGGGCACCGAGGACCAGAACATACCGGCAGGTTGACAGGAATGGCTTTGGGGGGGGGGACAGGGGGTTTGTTGGAGCGAGGAATTTGGAGAAAGAGGTGACTGGTCTTTTTTTGCTTAGGTTTTGTTTTTTGTTTTTTTATGGTGGTAAGGTTTAAATAAGGGCTAGGCGGACAGCGAGTCTCTGGGGGCAGTTAACAAGCTAAAAGAGTGTGAAGTGACTGTCACACTCTCTGAGCAACAAGTCCTCAAACACACTTCCAGCAGTGGACAAGAGTGGCCTCAGGGTGGTACGCTTAATTGAAACAAGGACTCTTTTTTTAAAAAGGAGATGATTGCCAACGCTAACTGGAGAATTTTTCTGTCTTCTGCCTCAATTTCTCACGCAAACTTGAGAATTACGTTTATTTTTCTCGTCTTTACACTAAGCTTGTTTAAAATATTAAGTGGTTTTTTTTATCAATAAAAATCAAAAAATTCCTTCAAGTTCTAGCCAAGAGATTGTTTTTTTTGTTCATCGTCTTCACACTGAAACGAAGAGTTAACGCGGACCGGGTTGGCCTTTGCTACGCTGCCTCATCCTAATCAGGTTCATTACACAGCTTGTAAAAAACAGACAAGAGTGTGGGAAGTCACAAAAAAAGGTGTTCTTCATTTCCGCCCTGCTCTGCCAAATGAAACCGCAAAGATCAGAGAGGGTGTTTCATTGAAATATTAACACAGGTGATCAGAAAAGTCTCTCAGGCTTCATCTGGACTAGCTCTAGCAACACTCCTGCAACCTGCTCTGTGTTTCCGACTGCTTGATGATTCAAACCAGCAGCCGTGTAAAAAAAAAAAAAAAGAACGAAAGAAAAAAAAAAAGCCTCCTTTAATTTGCCCCATGTGGCCGGAGAAGAGAAGAAAAGAGAGTGAAGGTGTCAAAAAAATGGTCTCCTTGCTGGTTTTACTGGACAGTAATGGAGCTGATTTGACCGTGTTACAAAATGCTTGCAGAGGGAGACAGCAGAGGTCATGGGATAGGAAGAGGATGTAAGTCTTTCCAGGTGTCTGTAACCATGAAGAGACGATAAAATCCTCAGGTGAAAAGCAAAAATGACTCACAGAATGAACTTTTCAGAGAGAGAGAGAGGGAGAGAGAGAGAGAGAGAGAGAGGACGGAACGGTGTTTGATGCTTCTCATTTGTTTGAAATGGTTATGAATGAGTTCGGCAGCGGTGGCGGCGGCGGCCCCATCCCCCCACTCCTCCCCACTCTCCTTTCAACCCCCTAGATGCTGGCCCTGCCCAGGATAAAATGCAGGACAACTCAGCCGGTGCCTCCACAGAAGGGAGGACTGACTGACTGCACACAGCAGAGCGTGAGGCCGTTCACTTGCTGCTTGGCTGCCCTGTACAGGCTGACACACACTCACTGCCTGCCTGACACACACACACACACTCTCTCTCTCTCTCTCTCTCTCTCTCTCTCTCTGTCACAAACACACTTTGCCTCTCTCTCTCCCTCCCGTACTCACTCGCTTACTCACTCCCTCTCTTTTTTCTCTCAGTATCACACACTCACACACACACACTCTCTCTCTCTCTCTCTCTCACATACACACACACACACAGAGTCAGTCACCAACCCTCATTCAACTCCCTCTCAGCCACGGGTCAGCAGCTCAGACAGGCACCTTGTTCCTATCCAGCTGGAAAGAGCAGAGAATCGCAAGGTGCACACACACATACACACACACACACACACCTACTCCAACACACACTCACACAGAAACACACCTATCTTTTGTCAGACTGATACACAAACACACAAACACACACACATACATACACACACACACACACACACAAACAAACACACATGTGCACCTTCAAACATCCCAGGACTTTAACTGTGGACCGGTGAGGAAGACTTCCAGCTCAAGGAGGACAAGCAGAGCAGGCATCAAGGAGTGGATTCATAACAATTACAACCCTTCATGAAAGCGGCAGACAAACAGATCTGAGAACTCGACCTGAAGATGACAGCTGGAGAAAGTTTGGCGAGCCTGATGCTGTGAGGAAGGAGAGGCCTTGCTGTCAGATTGGCCACCAGTGACATCCAGAGGATCTGCTGCGAGTGCCATTTCCCTCCCTTCTCGCTTCAGGACTCCCACCCTCCGCAGGGACATCTCCTGATCATCAGCATGCCTACAGCTTGCACAAGGTGCACCTTGGGAGTCTGACCCACCATGTGCAGATGGACGGCGTCCGTAGCTCATCTCTGTCCTGAACCTGCCCTCAGCAGCACCTCCACACCTGCAGCTTCCACTGGGCCGCCTCTGCCCCTGCCCAGCGCAGCCTCCCTTTGCCTGGCATGCTTCACCCTGCTTCTGGTCACTGCTGGCACCGCCACGGGGGCCTGTCCTCCCCGGGTAGGGCATGAACCCCTTCAGGTGCTGGCGAGTGGCATCAACTGTTCGTGGACACTGGAAAGGCACACGCGCAGTTATAATCACTTAGAGGGTGACGTCCGGCTGCGACGACTTTACTCTGCCAACAAGTTCTTCCTCTGCATTGACAAAACAGGCAAGGTGGACGGCACCCGGCGAAAAAACTACGCTGACAGTAAGTAGCCTGGCACACAGTGACACTAAAGTTCTGTATCTAAAGAAATGTGTGTCAGAGACAGGATGCCCTATGACGTTCCTCACTTATATTTTTATGGCTGAACCTTCTTATCTGTTCACTGTTTTATAGCAGTTCATAGGGATATCCTACGGTTATATCACTGCTGAGCTATTTGTGTTGTGTTTAGAGCATGAGAGACGCGTTGCTAGGTAAGAAGAGAATACCCCAGTGTAGATTTAGACTCCTCATGGGACGGCAGGCACTGAGGAAAGACAGTGAGCATCAGTTGGTGGCGCAAACTGGGCTTGGAAAAAAAGTTTCAGTTTCACTGGGAATTAACTTGTCAGAACTGTGTTGAAAGTGCGTCAATCGTGGGGAGCAGGTGTAAAGTGAAACACATTTTCCCCCCATATTAATAAGTATTTTCACTATTTACTCTGTGCATGCGCTGGTTTGTGTTTGTCCGCATGTGTGCGCACAGGTGGGGAACTTTAAAAAAAAAAAAAACCTGTCTTAACTCTTTGCAAAAACTCACTGTACAGTCGTGCAGATCCAGGTAGACTCAGTTTATCCTGTCTGTAAGTCTGTAGTCTGCACACAATCTGTGGTGTAAGGGACACCTGAGAAGAGCTTGTTCATGCTGCAGCCAAAGCCTCTTCAGCGTGTCCATCAATGGGTGTCTTTCAGATGCTTGACCAGGTCAGATGAACTGACTCTGGTCATGATGTGACCTCCCTCTCCATTAGTCACTGGCTGACTGACTGATTGGATAGCTCTTAGAGACATTCTTGCCTTTGACGGTAATATTTATGTGTTTGCTCGTTAATGCCTTTTTATAAAAGTGGGTGAGTCAGAGTTTTTCCATACTGCTACTGGGGGGAAGAGCAGCTGCTGCGTCCAGCGAACAGGCCAGTCAGTCTGTTGCCACTGTTTCAATGAGCTCCAAGCTGCAGACTGGATGACATTTGTTAAACCTGTCGGGTATTAGTCACCTGGCAGGATCTTTAAAAGCCACACACACTGTTATAAACTCAAGTTGAGATGAATTATTACTGTGTTCAATCTGGAGCCGTGAGCCTATCCAAGTTGGGACATTATTCTTCCATATTAGTGGTAATATATGTCAGCTACCATAATAAAATATTACTCCCAAACTGTGCTTGGATTTGACAGTTTGACAGAAGTCACGCTGGAGGGCCGGTAGAAATTTGGCAAAACGAGGGAGTTCAAATTTAAAGTGTTTGGAGTCATTAGAAAATAGCAAAACATTGATGCTGATTGTGAAATGCATGCTTTTACTTGTGTCATTTCTGCTTGGAAGGCTGCAGTGGCCCTTTATGAAAAAGTGCAGTCCCCTTACATGTAATGTCCTTATACACTTTATCCATCATCCCCTCATTTCCTTTGGTGGAAAGAACGATTCTTTCTGTGCTCACACAGAGCGAGGGTGTGTACCTGCACCCCGAGCTCCAGCACGCTGCCAAACCAGTGGTCATGTAGGCTTTGACTTAAATTCAACAAAATGGACCTTGTGGTCAGTCTGTGGTTGCGCCTCACAATGGGACAGATCTGTTCTTTTTTTTTCTGAGGTCTCTGTGTCTGTGTGAGGCTACTCGATGCTGCCATCACATAAGAAGGCTTTCAATCAGACTTAAAGCCTCCTGACCCAGAGAATTTGGCCATGCTATAGATTAGAGTGGCAGGATAAGCAGGAAGTGGTGCATATTTAATGACGAGAGCGGTGACATGGATACTAGACGGCAACATCGGCGCTGAGTCTTGCGCAGGAAGGAGGACGCATTTAGTTTTAGGATTCCGTCGATACTTTTGAAATAACTTTCTCCATTTGATTTTAAACACAACCCAATGTAAACACACAGGAATGTTTAAATGGCTGCATATACATTTCAACAGAGATCAGTGCAGACACGCACAAAGTGCTGTTCTTGCCTGCTTGTGCACAACATATCTGTGCTCAGGACTGTCCTCCGCCTGCCCAGCAGTCTGTCCTCTGTGTTGCCCTTACACTCTTGTCGACACAGCTATATTGCCCCGACAGCTCTGCCTGCTACACCCAGGCTCCGGCCCTCACCTCCACCCCACTCAGTTTTTCCAGCCCCGACTCCCAGCTCCCTCTCAGGTGCAAAAACAGTTGGAATTAGTCAACAAGCTCTCTGCTAATTGAGGTTGGAAAATATTGTATCAATCCCAGTGGAGCAGGGGCATGGAACAGCTGAGGGAAGAGGCGAGAGGGAGAAAGAGTGACTTAGAGGGATGGTGGGTTTAAAGGATTAGAGGGTTGAAGGGTGATAGAGAAAAAAAATGCAAAACATACACACGGTTCCTGAGAAGTTACATACGGCATAATATAAATATTACACAGAAATCATCAGGTTATGTAAGTAATTAAAACGCTCTTCCAGATGTGATTAAAGGGCAGATAAAAGGTTAAAACACTATTTTTGCAGAGTGATGAAATTCAAAACTGCCACTGGCAACAGACAGGACGGGCTGAACGTGTATCAGTTACATCTCCAAAGTGTTCCAAGAAAAATGTTCTGCCTTGTGAGCGCAAATGTGGAAATATACACAAACACACACTCAAACACAAACACGAAGTCCTCAGGTATCCGCTCCTGGCATTCGTTATCAGAATCAAGCAACTTGTAAACTTGCTGGACATGTACAGTAACGCATTTGTTAATCAAACTGCAGAGATAAAAATCAAGATAACGATCTGACTGTCATCTGACGGCAAAACTACACGTTCTAAATATAGTTCCACCTATAATTACAAACCACCTGATCGCATAAGGTTCTAAAAATAACTCGTTGAAATAGCCACACGAAGAGACAAAGTACAGTACTTTGAGGGACCGAAAGGGAGGGCTGTGACATGTTTTTCTTTTGACCTATGGCAAGGCAGAAAATGATCGAGGGGAAAAACACACCCAAGTGTTTACAAAAGCTCCAGAGGCAGGTACGCATCATATCCTGTCCTGGGTCATCGGTCATAGCCTGCTAATTAGACAGTGCTACAGCACAACAGCTGTGCAGGCACGCCCAGCAACCACTTCATGATCAATTGCAACAGCAAAAGCTGAGCGCAACGCTCCACATGCACTCATTAAAGTCAAATTCAATTAATAGACTTGTAGTTGCACGCTTCGGTTACGAGCTTGTTTATTTAATCTTTTATCTTTTACCATTTATTTTCTTGGCACCTCACACTGCATATATTTCAATTTATTTCACCACATCTTAAAGGATAGACTGTTGAATTTTGTGTGTGGCCGTGTGTGTGTGTGTGTGTGGCAAATGGAATCAAACGCTTGTGCAGCCTCCAGATCGTGTCGGCCAGTTCACCCTTAGGAAATAAGGTCACCCCAACCGCACCACTACAATCGCAGAAGCCACCGCGCTCTGCCTCTACAGCCACGCAACTCTCACAGCCGGGGTGTGTTGTATTTACGAAATTTCCCTTGGTGTGCAACATGCTGCTGTTTGATGTGAGAGTTTTCCGAGTTCATGAACGTGTTTGACTTGGAAGGCGACCATGGGAAGAAAATCTTCCACCCCACTGAAATATGTTGTGGAAATTATTCAAACTTGTTGTAGACAGGGGAAACTGTCACTCACAAAGGAGAGACTGAAAATCATAAAAGACGAGACGAGTGGTACAGACAGATGACTTTATTCGCCTACAGGGTTTGACCAAGGCAGTGTTGAAAATAAAGAAGACGATATGGACTAGAGGTGGAAAGATTTTAAACTAATATTGTTGCTGTTGGAGAAATGTTGTATTTAACTTATGAAAAGTTGGTCCAGTATACTTTGTAAATACCAGTTCTGTGCCATGCAGATACTAGTTCAAAACTTTAAAAACATACTCCAGTCATCTTGTCACTATCATGAACACTAAAACAGAAGACACTTTAGAACACATTGTTTTCTTCAGAATCTCAGGAATATATGCATATAAAGCGCCATTCATGAGCAACATTCTTTCCTCGAATGAACAGAATATCAGACCTTCATCGTCGGTTCATGTGTTGTCTCGGTTGCACTCTGGGGACACTTTGCATTCGCAAACCACTGCAAGAGACATTACAAAATGTCTGTCCTGCACTGCCTGCCATTTTAAAGGTGTAAGGAGGTTTACTCTGCGCGAGCCTTCCTTCATCCCCACCATGACTCACCATTAATTCTGGTCGAGCTCAGACGGGGATGTGTGACTGGATCAACAGCACCGAGGCTGGAGGGGCTAAAGAGGGAAGCACCTGGCTGAAGGAAGTGCTTTGGTGTTTTGAATCGGGGAGAATACACATGTTAATGAGGCTAGGAGAAGGGCCGGGGCGTGCTCTGCTTAGTATTGAGGTGGAAATTAAAGGCTAGAGGAGTGCTGGAGCGTTTCCCGTTGCTCATTAGGCATTAAGGTTTCCTCTGGGTCGTCTCAACTGAGAGGGCATTCGTGGACATTTTCAGATGCCAGCGGGAGGGTAAAATCCCACGAATCATGCATTTATTACCCCACACCCCTTCACTGTAAAGACAGTGCATGGCCACAGCCTGTGGGAGAAGAAGTGGAAATCGACCCCTTTGCCAGCTGTTCCTCTTATTAAGAGGGCCGAAGACGAAATAAAACATCAGCGCATGCACGTTGAACACGCATGTTAAATCTTTCACACAAACGCAGACACTATCACTGTCCTGGGAACATTGCAGGACAAGAGTGTCAGTGTCGGTCTAATTAGCCGAGCGTCCCTGGTTTCTGCCACCAGGGTTTGATATCTTGAATGGACTCTAGAAATGTAGCAATTAGTAGCTAACAACCTTTAGCAGTCTGGCTCTGGCTCCTCTCTAGGATTTACTGGGTTCATCAACAGGTTTATAGAGTCTGACTTTGGCTCTGGCAGCCAATTCCTTTATAACATCGCACAGCTCTGCACATCCTGTGGGTGTGAAGGGAACACAAAGGAGAAGACTTCGCAGTGCCA